ACCTACTTGCTTCTAGATTTATTGATAAAAGATTAATTAAGTGTCCTTGGCTAAGCCAGTTTTGCTTAGGGGGTCTTTATTTCATCTGAACATTCCCATACTAATGCACAATGCATTCTATGTCATAAGAATCTGAACATCTGGCTAATATGACAATGTGAATGAGGAAAAAAAATAAATGATTTTTAGAATTCATATTAGAATAATTATAAAATTGAATAATGACAGTACATTTGCTAGTTTCAAAATGGCAGTTGCATGTAAAGTGCCAATCTGATTCCTGGCCAGTGGCTCATATTTGCCTAATTTATCTCCGTCTATTTCCAGCTTGGCTTTGTTACAGCAGACACAGCAATGAGTACTTCCATTTGACAGGATCCTTTTCCTAGTGGGGCAGAAAATAAGAGAAAGGTCTTTATTAGAGTTTGTTAATATAGAAGAATATAAAAATAATCTCACCCTTTGTAATTCTAATAGACATCGAAGCAAGACCAGTTAATCACTACCTTCCCTTCCAGCCATGGAGTAGGTGACTCAGAGACATTATCCTTTGCCCTGACTATGTGGCTCAGTTGGCAGGGCGTCATCCCACAAAGTGAAGGGTCATTGGTTTGATCCCTAGTCAGGGCACATGCCTCAGTTGTGGGTTTGGTCCCCTGTCAAGGCTTGTGCAAGAGGCAACCCATTGATTAATGTTTCTCTCTTAGAGAGAAACATTGATATGAGATATTTCTTCCCGTTCTCACTCCCTTCCCCTCTCTCTAAAAATAAATAAATAAAATATTTTTTAAAAAGAGAGACATCCTTTGAAAGACAGATTTTTAAAAGATTTTATTTACTTATTTTTAGAGAGAGGGTAAGGGAGAGAGAAAAAGAGGAAGAGAAACATCAATGTGTGGTTGCCTCTCAGATACCAGGTGTGTGCCAGGTGTGTGCCCTGCCCAGGAATTGAACCAGCCACTCTTTGGTTCACAAGCTGGCATTCAAACCACTGAGCCACACTGGCCAGGGAATGAGAGACAGATTTTAAAACACCAAGAAACCCCAATGTTATCCAATAGAATTTTATATTCTCTAATAATAAAGTATTTGATTGTTTCCCTGAAAAAATAAGCTTTTAGGAAAAACAATTGTTGTTTTATAGAACACCTGATAAATTTCATTTGTTAATAAAGAGTTCTTTCATTAATCTCTGGAACATATCATTTTATTGTCATATGTTAAACCCACTCTTATATCAAGAGTTTTATGTTGGATTTTTAAATTACAATCCACTGAACCCTAAAATTTCTTAAGTTCGAGACAGATAATATATTGATAGTCTCTTATCTAACTTGGTATCCAATGTTTTGTAAAAGAGCTCCTCCTCTGATTTAGAGTCATGCCTTCAACTCTTTATATTATTAAACTTGTGAGGCTATACAGGAACGAGATGTCTATTCAGAAATCCCTCTAGAAAGTTTCTTACATTATTTATGTCACTACTAAAGCTATGTCCCTTCCCTTAAAAAAATCTGCTGTAAATACAAAAGAAAAAGTCATTATTTAGCCAGCAATGTTGATAAATGACTCTGGTTTGCCTCTAGCAGCCCCATCATTGCTTTTTATACACTAATTGGCTTCCTAAATCTCTGGTCTCAAAGATGGTCAAGTAGGCAGTTAATTTGATAGTAAATTTTAAATGCTATTCTAATATTCCCTTAATTAAAAATAAATTTAATGGTTTTTATGTGATTTTAATCTTACATAAATCAGTTAGATCCCCTAGTTTATACATGACATTTGAAAGTTCTGAACTTTTGTCTGTTTATTTCCTCCTGCAAGCTTAATATGCTTACCAAAAATTTCTACATTATACATCATCAAAGCTTTCATCTTGTTTCAAAAGAAAAAAGGAAAAATTTCAAATGCCAATTAAAAGCCAAAATCAACTATTTTCAGCCTCGATTTTTTTAATGTCAGTTTATTTTTACCTAATTCTAGTAAATTTATATAGTATAACTCTAAACTTTGCTATTTGATATTTCCCTGCTGAAGAAAAGCAGTAGAAACTTTTCACTATCTGTGCTGCTTTTGGAAACCAGCCCCTCCTCCCATCTGTGGTCTGGGCCATGCACCCTGGGGCTGTGAGGGTATGGAAGGCAGGTAGCCTTCACAACTGCACTCCAAACACTAAATCCAGGAATTGCCAGTCGTTACTCTGCAGTTGAATGTTCTGGAGAATGGCCCTCTATGAACAAGGTACCAAAAAAAGAAATGAATGACTTTCTTTAAAAAAATTTTTTTATTAAATTTATTAGGGTGACATTGGTAAGGTGACTTTCTACATTCAATAAACCATAAAGAGAAATACTAATTAGGAGGAAAGAGGAAATGAATCATTAGACCAAGTAAATTAAAGGTCGAGTCTTTACATTTTGGAATAGATCATTTTCTGCTGAACTAGCTAATATTTCTGAAGTCTATGAATTTCAAATTCCTATGAAGTTCAGTTTTTCCAAAACAAAACTGGGAAGGAAATGTTTTTTCAGTATAAAAAGGTTCTAACTAGGCTTCAGTTTTAAAAAAGAGAAAGAGAAAGGGTTGCGGTATAACTACAGGCTGGTGGGTATACCTAGCATTCTTTGGCACACAACTTGAAAAAAAAAAAAAAAAACACGTGGCAGGCGGGAGCTCTGCCTGTCCGTTTAGAATGAGGTGCATACTGAGATTGTCAAACTAGAGAAAACAGAGGGAGGAAGACATAGATTCCATTACCTCAAGCAATACACAAATGTACTAGTTATTTTTGTTTCGTGAGTAGAGTTGATTTTAAACAGAAACCACCAACTATCACCACCACCACCACCCCCGCGCCCCGTCCTGGGAAAAGTGAACTGGCCTCAAATGTACATTTAATTTTTCTTCTGTTCCCACACGCTCAGCAATTTTGGTTCTCAGGCCCTAACCATTCCTACTGTGAAAGCTGACAAATAGCAAAAATCTTGACAGAGAACGAAAGAGAGGAAGAGGGAGGAGAGGAAATGGAGAGGGAGACAGAGAACGCTTTTAGCCACCCTTCTGGCTAACTGAAATGCTTGTTCCCGAGATTACAGTAATTATAGCCCCAGCATGAATTCCATACAAGCGCTAAATGAAACAGCACATCAATTTAAAAAAAAAATAAACACTCTATTCTAGGCAGAAAGACAACCCCCTGGGATGTCCTAACAAGCGTAAATGAACTTGCCACGCCGCCAACCCCTCGTCCTCCCCCTCCCCGCAAATTAAGGTGGTCGCTGAGCTGGAGCTGAGCTGGAGCGGACAGAGCTGGTAGGCGTCCCAAGTAGCTGCTACAAGAAGCCGGGGTCCCACTCGGTTCGCTGCAGGTTACTGACACTTCTCCGCACCGCAGCGCTGGGGTGCAGCACCACCTTTCACGGAAGATGTGACTCTTGCAAAAACACGTGAACTTTGGATACCTGTATATGTGTTCCAAAAGTACGAGGTGGAGAGTGAATCCAGCCTCAATCTCTAGTGTATCCTATTTATAAGTTTTTCTTCCTTTCTTTCTTTGAAGGAGGAAGGGAATTATTTTTCTTAAGGAAGCACTGGTTCCTGGATGCCTTATATATTTCATCTCGCCTCCTTATCAGAACCCGCTTTGTGATGTGTACTGTTACCCGGCTCTCCTCCTGATCAGGATACTGAAGTTCTTCCAGGTCACTCGACAGAGGCGGGAGAACCCCGGGACGGCCTTGGTGCACCGTGCACCTCCCGTGCCCGCGGCTGGGCGCCGGGACACCTCCACCTGGTCTGTCTCCGGTCCTGCCCCACTGGTCCTGATCCACCGTCTAAAATAAACTGCCATCGTTCCCGTTCCTCCCACATTTCCACGTCTCAAAGATCACTATTCTGAGATCTCAAATAGGGCACATTTTCCCAGGTCTCCCGCAGTGTCTGGTAGGGGCACGGGCCTCGGTCACCGGGAGGTCACCCATATTTGGGAAAAATCATAGCGGGGACTTAATTGGTTTTAAACCGGCCTAGGAGAGTGCGCGCTACATTAAAACCTCGTACCCAGTCCCCAAGAGAAAACTTGTAAACGGAGTCTTCAGAGTCACTAAGAGCGGAAAAGAGGGTGGGGCGGGGAGGTGAGGGAAAGGACTGCAGTAGCAAAACCAGTCTCTGCGGTCGGTACCAAGGTTACCGAAACTCTCCAGCCTCAGACAGCTAGCCAGGCGGTGCGGACACTCAGACCGCCTTAAGGAAGACTGGGCTTTGGGATCATGGAGTCTCCGCCCCATTCCCTATGATTGGCTTGAGAGGCTGTGGGCGGAGACTAAGTCCGCGCGGTATAAATATTCATGAGCCGGCCAGGAGGCTAGAGGGGTCGCAGCCGGGAAGTTGGGTGAAGGGCGCAGCTCTGGTGGAGGAGGAGAGGGCGGTGGGCGCGGGTCGGGCCACTCAGGTGTCTGCTCCGCCTTCCGGTCTGGATTTGGTTCAGCGAGTCTAGCGAGGAGGGGACAGCCTGCACGTCGCCGATTGCTGACTGGAGCGCGGAGGGGACTTTTACCAGGCCAACGCCGGCAAGAGAGGAAGGGAGCCTCGGCGGAGGCTGGTCCGCAGCTCTGGAGGCAGCAGCGCGGCTTTGGAAATGAGCATGAACCCCGGGGAGCCGAAAGGAGGCCGTACGGGCTGACCCCGCGCGGGAGAGGCCTGGCCCAGCCATCTTGACTGCGCGCCGCGGCCCAAAAGGAAACTTGCGGCGCCGCCGCCCTCTGCGCCCAGCCAAGTCGCCGGCGCCGGCGCGGCGCGGCGCGGATAAGTGGCCCAGCGGCCCAGCGCTCGAGAGAAAACGCGAACGAGTGAGGGATGATGAGCTGGGGGTTGGCAGCTCTGCTCCAAAAGGGCTGAACTCGATCAGGGCAGGCCTTTCGGACTGTACTTCCAGCCACCCTAATTTCCCCCGAGCGGCGGACCGCGCCCTGTGGACATGTCCTGAGGGGGGACTAAGACAAGGTTATAGGCAGATCCCCTCCCGAGAAAAGCAGGAGAAAGACCAGCAGGGCATCCGCTCTGCCCTTCTCCGGCTCTCTCGCTGGATCCTCCGGAGCCCCTCTGTGTGCTGCCTGGAACGTGAGGGGCACGCAGCATGGAGTGGGGTTACCTGTTGGAAGTGACCTCCTTGCTGGCCGCCTTGGCGCTGCTGCAGCGTTCCAGCGGAGCTGCGGCTGCCTCAGGCAAGGAGCTGGCTTGTCAAGAGATAACAGTGCCACTATGCAAAGGCATCGGCTACAACTACACTTACATGCCTAACCAGTTCAACCACGACACGCAAGACGAGGCGGGCCTGGAGGTGCATCAGTTTTGGCCGCTGGTAGAGATCCAGTGCTCTCCCGACCTCAAGTTCTTCTTGTGCAGCATGTACACGCCCATCTGCCTGGAGGACTACAAGAAGCCCCTGCCTCCCTGCCGCTCAGTGTGCGAGCGAGCCAAGGCCGGATGCGCACCCCTCATGCGCCAGTACGGCTTCGCTTGGCCAGACCGAATGCGCTGCGATCGACTGCCAGAACAGGGCAACCCAGACACTCTCTGCATGGACTACAACCGTACTGACCTCACCACGGCTGCGCCCAGCCCGCCGCGCCGCTTGCTGCCTCCGCCTCCTGGCCAACAGCCGCCCACAGGCAGTGGCCACGGCCGCCCGCCAGGGGCCAGGCCCCCATCTCGAGGCAGGGGGGGAGGCGGCGGGGACGCGGCGTCGCCCCCCACCCGCAGCGGAGACGGCGGGAAGGCGCGGCTCCCTGGCGGTGGCGCGGCGCCCTGTGAGCCGGGCTGCCAGTGTCGCGCGCCAATGGTGAGCGTGGCCAGCGAGCGGCACCCTTTGTACAACCGCGTCAAGACTGGCCAGATCGCCAACTGCGCGCTGCCGTGTCACAACCCCTTCTTCAGCCAGGACGAGCGGGCCTTCACCGTCTTCTGGATCGGTCTATGGTCTGTACTGTGCTTTGTGTCCACCTTCGCTACCGTGTCCACCTTCCTCATCGACATGGAGCGCTTCAAGTACCCTGAGCGGCCCATCATCTTTCTCTCGGCCTGCTACCTCTTCGTGTCGGTTGGCTACCTGGTACGCCTGGTGGCGGGGCATGAGAAGGTGGCGTGCAGTGGTGGCGCTCCGGCTGCGGGCGGAGGGAGCGGCGCGGGCAGCTCAGCTGGGGCGGCGGCGGGCGCGGGCGCCGCAGCGGCGGGCGCCGGCAGCCCGGGCGGGCGCAGCGAGTACGAGGAGCTGGATGCCGTTGAGCAGCATGTGCGCTACGAGACCACTGGCCCGGCCCTGTGCACGGTGGTCTTTCTGCTCGTATATTTCTTCGGCATGGCCAGCTCTATCTGGTGGGTGATCCTGTCGCTCACGTGGTTCCTGGCAGCGGGCATGAAATGGGGCAACGAGGCCATCGCCGGCTACTCGCAGTACTTCCACCTGGCCGCGTGGCTCGTACCCAGCGTCAAGTCCATCGCTGTGCTGGCGCTGAGCTCCGTGGACGGTGATCCGGTGGCAGGCATCTGCTACGTGGGCAACCAGAGCCTCGACAACCTGCGCGGCTTCGTGCTGGCGCCGCTCGTCATCTACCTTTTCATAGGGACTATGTTCCTGCTGGCCGGCTTCGTGTCGCTCTTCCGCATCCGTTCGGTCATAAAACAGCAGGGCGGCCCCACCAAGACGCACAAGCTGGAAAAACTTATGATTCGCCTAGGCCTCTTCACCGTGCTCTACACAGTGCCCGCCGCCGTTGTAGTCGCCTGCCTCTTCTACGAGCAGCACAACCGCCCGCGCTGGGAGGCCACGCATAACTGCCCGTGCCTGCGGGACCTGCAACCTGACCAGGCACGCAGGCCGGACTACGCGGTCTTCATGCTCAAGTACTTCATGTGCCTGGTGGTAGGCATCACTTCGGGCGTGTGGGTCTGGTCAGGCAAGACGCTCGAGTCGTGGCGGGCCCTGTGCACTCGCTGCTGCTGGGCCAACAAGGGCGCCGCAGTGGACGGAGTTGCTGGCCTGAGAGATGCGGCTGGTCCCGGCGGGGGCGCGGGAGGAGGGCGGGGCGGCGGAGCGGGCTCCCTCTACAGTGACGTCAGCACAGGCTTGACGTGGCGATCTGGCACGGCCAGCTCCCTGTCCTACCCAAAGCAGATGCCATTGTCCCAGGTTTAAGTAAAGGGGGTGGGGCTTTCCCTGCTCCGGACAATGAAGCTGCAGCGAGGAAGCCAAGTGCTGTGAGGGGACACTCCACGGGCTGGAGCTGAGGTTTCCAGCCCTTCTCCTTGTTGACTGCTATTAGTATGATAATGAACTCTTAATGGTACCCATTAGCTGGAACTTCAATGTCTTGCTTAGAACAAAGTTCCTGGCCTAGACCTCCCAGCCCCAGCCCCCTTTCCTCCATTGGTAAGTGAGGAGCAGGAGCCCTGGAGGCGTTAATTTTGGCAGAGGAGGGTGGACTCTCCAGCTTTCCAAGACCCCAAGGCTTGGAGTCCTCATTGGTTGCCGTTTGTTGAGCTTGAAGCCAGATCTATAGATTTCACCTGAGAGACCTATTTTTCTCCTACGTTAACTCTTATTCCTTATGCATCCTAGAGGAGGGATGATTGCGACCTACCGGAATTGTATGGTTTGGCTATTCTTCATGACCGGGCAAATGCCTTAAGTGAATTAAAAAGAAATGTCTTAATTATACACCCCAAGTAAATACGGGTTTCGTACATTAAAGGATGTATTTATATAATTATTTGTTGAATTGTAAAAATTGTAAAATATGTACATATCCAGAGATATATAGTCTGTACATTTTTTTGTAAAAAGTATAGAGGCTACTCCTGTACGAACAAATCTAAGTTTTCTATTTTGTCAATAAAATGACTTTTGATAAATGATTGAAACATTGCCCTTTCCCCTACCTCTTCTAAGCTGTTACCTGTAAAGTGCTTGCTAAGGGCATGTTGGAAGAATGGACATTTTCTGGTTTCTCTGTACACTAACTTTAGGCATGGAGAAAATGACCTGTTAAACTCTAGTTCTTAAGTTGTTAGCATAGTAAATATCACTGTTGAACTGCAACCAAAACTGAGATTTTGCACCTTCCAAAAAGATGTTTTTAATGATAGCTCTTTTTTCAATCCATGGATAACAATGCTCACTTTAGTGTGTGTAAGTGGACTATTGTAAAGGAGTAATTTTCCACTCAGGCCTTGTTATTTATCTTCAATAGTACCACTAAAGGCTTCAAAATCTCACGTTTATTTTTTTCTCGTGTCTGTGATTTTGAAAGCACCTGGACTGCAACAAGCTGTTGAAGTGTAAAGGTGAGTGTTTTAAACTGTGAAACACATTATACAGTATGTCACTTGATACTCTGGTGGTGGAACAGACATTCTTAATGGATTAAACTAATGGGTTAACATCTTAATATCAAACATGCTGTTTTTCCTAGAGAAAAAGCTATTGTTCCTCTGTCAAGACAGCTAATTTATTTGAGCAGAAGGCTGTTGAATTAGAAGAAGAATGCTTTGGCAATTGAACTTTTTACCTGTCTGCCCAGTGGCCCAGCACATCATTCCTTTAAGAGGAGCTAAATGAATAGGGTTAATCTGTAGGGAACTTGGTCTTTTGAGTTTGAAAAACTTTGATCTTTTCTGCTCTCCAAATGTGCTGTATAGTCTGAAGTTTCTTTCCCTGCTGCCTGGCTCCTCTTGGTGCAGACCAATTGGCCACCATGGAGCCTTAAAGTTCTTCCATTAAAGGAATGTGGGACTTTTACTTTAAAAAGGAGAAAGAGCTAGGGAGAGGAAGACTTGTAACAGTTAGTGAAGACCTGAGGCACAAGTGTGCTCAGTCTTTTAAACAGTTTTTCCAAGCATTGTTAGCCAGCCTGCAGGCAGCTAGGCATGGATTCAAGCATTATAGAAAAGGGCTCTGAATGCCCTACAGGTGGTCTGTGCACATAATCCCCCAATTTAAAGCGTTTTCCTTTGCTTGACAATTGTATTACACAACTCCCTTCTTTTTTGCTCCTAATTGAACCAATGTTAGGGAAAAAAAAATCCTCAGCGCCTAAATTCTATTCACTAAATTCTGACAAGTTCTCTGAACTGAATCTTTAAAAAGCACCGGAAGTAAAAGCTTCTTCAGTAAAGCTTTTCATATATTTTTATTTCTCATGCTTGTTATTTTCTGGCAGATTAGCAATAATTTAAAAGTAATTGGTAAGGTTGTATGTTCATACTGAAAAGATAGCCCTAGGTCCCTTATTAAACTGTCAATCAAGATAAGAAATGGGCAGCTATCCTGCTAATGATGGAGACATCAAACTGTGGGGTGGGGACTTGTTCTCTGCAGCCTGCTAAGATGTTTGTTCTCTTTACTTTTCCTAATAGGAATATTTAGTAGTTAAAAAATATTTTTTAATTAATAGGACAGAAACTACTTCCTTGGCTTATCTTCTGTTAGAGGCTTTTAAGAAGAATTTTGTAATAGAAACATTTTGCAAATCCTTTCCAGAGTCATTCTTGGAGTTAATTGGATTCTTGAAATTAGATATGCTATAAGAACACCCACTTTAGCTGTCATGCCAATTTTATTTTTTTAAGTCAAAGGCATTCTAAAATCCACCTCTCAACTGTTTTACTCATTAAAGAATTGCGATTTTGTAATATAGGTTCCAATAAGTGGTCTGCATCTAATCCATGTGGTAGTACTATACTGTACATAAAACATCCATAAACTTTACATTTGCAATTATAAAGTAGGATTTGAGGGCATTCCCATAGACTATCACATATGTGGGATGGAAAGAGCTAAAAGTTACGATGTTGGTTTTCTAGTGTAGCAATATTTTCATTAGACACATTTTCAGCTATGTTACATAGTGGAAATTGTTCAACTTTAGAGCTCTTTTTCTTTATTAATGTATTCAATATATCCTTGTAAAATGTCATATTTGAAAACTGACTGTAAGCATGCTTAAAATAAGCAAGTTGATAAACAAGCAAAATCCTTATTGGGGACAGCTCTCAGTAAAAAGACCGGTACTTACAATCACTAGAGACTGATAATAAAACACAAGTGCAGGTTCTTTGTCTTTAAAGCTAAACTTGAGGTGCAAAATTACCAATACTCAAATAGTGTCCATTAATGCAATTTTTAAAAAAACTTGATTTGGGGTTGGGAAAAGAAAGGAAGAGTATTTGGCTATAAAACAACTGAATGGGTTCCTTTCCAGAACACTGTGTTATGCAGGTGTGTTCTTACTATGCAGAACAAGTGTTAGTTTTTGAAAATTTTGTCAAATATGTGGTTACTTTGTGGCTAGATCAATGTAAATAAAGTCTAATATGGCCAAAACCATTAGAGCCAAAGCTCTTTAAAATTACTTATGGGAGAAGTTATGTGAAACACTTTCTTTTTGCTTTATAAAAAATGCAATTTAAAGTACCATAAAACAGAAGTGGGTGAGGGGGATTGTAGAAGTTTAAGAAACAAATTGTCACCCTTACAGTTTTTTAACCTGTGTTGATGGCGTAGCAGGTTCCTATAAATCCTTGAGTTTGAAGGTGGGAAATCAGATTATCTGGCCTACAGAAAAAAAAATCACACAAAGAGACAAAAGCAGTTGCAGAGAACAACATGTTATTTTAAGTACAGGGGCACACATTCCGTTGAGAGTCTCCAAACAAATCACAAGTGCAGTGGTATGCTTTCCACATTTGATACTATAGTGCCACCTCATGGTACCACAAAGTTCCACAAGAACCAGGAGATAGATAGGTTCATTCAGAAATACAGTCCTATGGTACAAGCCTTGTCACTCACAGACTCTGCCCAGAAGGCCCACAAGTATTTTGTATTCATAATTTTGAAATTTTCTGTCAAGAACCCCAAACTTCATCAATTTACAGAACCTCAAGTCTTCAATTGAAGTAAATCCTCAATGTTAATGGTTATACTAAAAATATAATTAAAATGTGTTGAAATCCAAAGGGTTATCTTTTTAAAAATTATCTTGAGTTACTTTTATTTAAAGAATGGGTGGCCACATAAACATCCATTATATCTTTTAATGGGAGAAGGAATGAGTCTGAATCATGAAGAATAGTCTGAGGTGGCATGTAGTTGATTTGCCTATTTAACTGGGGGGAGAGGGTTTGTTTTGTTTTATTTTACTGTTTCCTGCAAAGAAGTCAAGCTGCTGGGTCCAGTGAACATGTTTCAGTGTTGCACATGAATGCTATTGGGATGGGTAGGATGCAGGCTATCCCCAATATTTAGCCAGGTGTTTGTGGAAACACACCAAGCAATAGAAACTGTGCTACAGAACAAGGTTAACCAAAAGGAAGAGAGGGGAGCCTGGGCTGTGGAATGCTTGAGCTCTGCAGGAGGGAGATTTGCATAGCATGGCCCGATGGGAAGGACAGGCCTCTAACAGGGGTGTGTGTGTGTGTCGGGGTGGGGGGAACCACCCTGCTTAATTTCAGGAGCTGTAACCCCCCATGGCTAAGGCTGAGTGAGCAACCTATGGACCAGAAGCCACTAAGGAGACAAAGCTTATCTCCCTGGCAGGAGTGCCTCTCATGCTCCTCTTTTCATAACTGGCCCCCAATGCTTGATCAGTTAGCCAATGACAGGTAAGATTCCCTAAGGGGGTAATGACCTAAGACAGGCATGATCATGTGGAGGCCCCAGGGAAGAACTTGGGGGGCTATGGAGAAAAGGGGTGATGGACCCTCACCCCTCGGCTTTGACAAAGCTTGAGTCCTCATTCAGTCTGCGAGAAGTCTCCTATCTCTTGGATGCCTTACTTCCCACCCCTGACTTAATCCTAAAACAATGACAGAGGGTGGTGCAGCCTTGTGCTGGAAAGGGCAGGTTTGCTCGGGTGATCGGGCCTGAAAGAATACACAAACTCTTGTGAAACCTGCTTCACTAAGAATGCTCTTAATTAAATGATAAAGGTCCAGGCAGGAAATGAGTTTGCCTCCCAGAGTTTTGTAACCCATTAAGCTAACAGACCGTGACTCAGAATAGGCCCTCAGAGTCCTTGGTACGTTATCTGTTGTTTGATCCTTACTGCCTGACAATGATTAATGAACTTTACCTGTATTCCTGGGCAAATTAAAAGCCAATAAAAATCCTGTGAAGGAAGGATCAGGGTGCTCTCCTCGAGAAAGTGGCCAGGCCACTCCAAGACTCCCTCCCCTTGAGAGGGTAGCCGTGCCATCCCTTTTCCTCCACACAGGACTCCGTAGTCCATGTAAATGTCTCATGTCTCATCCATGATGCCACAGACATTGCAGGCCGGTGTCTCTATCGTGTGTGTGTGTGTGTGTGTGTGTGTGTGTGTGTGTGTGTTGAAGAGGCAGTCTCACAGCCCCCGACTAAAGACTTCCTCTTCCTGAGGGTCAGGTGGCTGGTGGAGACCAGAGGGAAGGAGAAAGCACTGGTCCAGAGGATGCAGACTAAAGATCCTTCAGGTCACCTATCATGATCAAGGAATTTAAACACAGAGATCTCTGGGGCCATTGAGAAGCTCACTACTCAACAAACAAGCAGGGGAGGCAAGACCTAGCAGCATAATGGAAATGTCACCTCTAGATTCTTGTTCACTGAATCAGAAGCCATATTTAACAAGATCCCCAAGTTCTTAGCATGCACAGGCTAGCTCTCCTCTGAAGCCCAAAGAGGAGTGGACCTGCCGAATATCATATAGTCAGGAGCACTGCAGGGCATAGAAGACATGAATTCTACCTGTCACTCCTTTTTCTGTCTTTCCCACCTGCCCTACCATCTCTGTAAATCCTTTCAGCCACCAATATGTACATTTGTCCCTGAACATCCACTAACCAGGTCTGTGTCTACCTAGTCCCAGAATCACACCAGA